ATCACCATCATCATCATCATCATCAGCATCATCATCATCATCAGCAGCATCATCATCAGCATCATCATCATCAGATTCATCATCATCATGTTCATCATCATCATCATCATCATCATCATCATCATCATCATCATCATATTGATCATCATCAACAACAACCTCATCATCATCATCAACAACATCATCATCAACATCATCGTCAGCATTATCATCACCATCAGCAGCAGCATCATCATCCTCATCATGATCATCATCATCATCATCCTCATCATCATCCTCATCATCATCATCATCATCATCATCATCATCATCATCATCATCATCATCATCATCATCATCCTCTTCCCCCTCCCCTTCCCCTCCCCTCCACCCCCTTCCCCATCCCCCCTTCCCATCTCCCGACCTCCTGCTACGAATTCCTCGTCCTCCTCCTCCTCCTCCGCCTCCCGCGATGCGCCGCCGAGCTACTGAGAGCATGAGACACGTCAGAAAAAAAAACAGATCCCCAGCGAGATGATGTTTCCAGCCGGCGGTGTTTCCTCGATTGTGGCCCTGGGGGCGCGCCACCGTACCCCGGGGCCCGCTCCGGTGTCGTACCCCAGGGCCACAAAACGGATCTGGGACGCAAAGCAACCCCAAGGGAAAGGGTGGAGAGCCCTGGGGCCGGGAATGGAAGATATCATTGCGGCGGATGTTTGGGCGCACGCGGGTTGTCCAGCTGACCACGTGTGAGAAACGCACGGCAGACCTCCCATGATCGACTCGCGCGGCCTGCAAAACGAGACAAATCCTGGCGAGAGACCTAACCATATGCAAGTGTGAACGCAACAAGGCAAGTGGCTCCCTGTGGGGCACGAAACGCGTGAGGGGTGTGCCGAAGTGTGCGGCGGGGGGATGCATGCGAACCTTGACATAGGAACCTTCGGTGGAGGTCCCGATGCGGCCACGAAACGTGTGCCGGAATGTGTGGCGAGGACGCATGTGAACGCGGCCACCCGTGGCTTCAGTGGAGCCCCCTATGAGTCCACGAAACGCGTGAGGCGTGTACAAGGATGTGCGGGGAACGCATGCGAGCGCCGTCACTGGGGCCTTCGGTTGAGCTCCCCATGGGGCCACGAAACATGTGAGAGTATGTGTGCAATCCATGGACACTGGGCCGCGGACTCATGCGTACGCGGCCACTGAGGCCCTCGGTGGAGCTCCCTGCGGGACCAGGAAACGCGGCGGGGACGCATGTGGCCGTCGCCACTGGGGCCTTCGGTGGAGCTCCTTATGGGGCCACGAAACAGATGAGGGGTTAACCGAAATGTGTGGCGGGGACGCATGCGCACGCGGCCTCTGGGGCCTTCATTGAAGCTCCCTAAATGGGGCTACGAAACGTGTTAGGGGGGTGCCGAAGTGTGCGGCGGGGACGCATGCGCAAGCGGCCTCTGGGGCCTTCATTGGAGCTCCCTAAATGGGGTCACGAAACGTGTGAGGGGTGTGCCGACATGTGCAGCGGGGACGCATGCGAACGCCGCGAACGCCGCCAGTGGGCCCTTCGGTGGAGCTCCCTCTGGAGCCATGCAGCGTGTGAGGAGTGTGCCGAAATGTGAGGCGAGGACGCATGCGAAAGGGCCTTATGTGGGGCTCCCTATGGAGCCACAAAGCGTGTGACATGTGTACCAACATGTGCGGCGGGGGCGCATGTGACCGCCGCGACTAGGGCGTCGGTGGAGCTCCCTTTGGAGCCACGAGACGTGTCAGGGGTGTGCAAACCATGGGTCGTGGGGACGCATGCGAACGCCACCACTGTGGCCCCTTTGTGGAGCTCCCAATGGAGCCACGAAGCGTGTGACATGTTTGCCGACATGGGCGGTGGGGACGCAAGCGAACACGGCCACTGCGCCTTCGATGGAGCTCCCTACCGGGCCACGAAACGCGTGAGCGATGCGCCGAAATGCGCCGCGGAGATGCTCAGTCCGCCGAGGGAGCACCCTGGCCCACCGCAAGAGGACGAGTTCAGATCGTCCTCTTCCAGAGGCCGAGGCTGGATCGTCCCCACCTGAGGGGGAGCCTGCCCCGGTCCTTCCTCCTCCCCCTCCTCCTCATCATGTTTTTTCGTTTTGCCTAAGCGATCATTCGGAAAGGGACGAGGAGGAGGAGGTCCAGTGTAAACCCAAGACTCTTCAACGTAGGCCCAGGTTCAAAACTCTGAAGCGTGCCAAAACACCATTCTCGGGACTCCGACGCCACGGATAAACCGAACTGTTGCGTCTTAACAACCTTTAATATTGCCAAAACACCTTTCCTGGGGCTCCAGCGACACGAAGCATCGTAACTGCTGCACCCTCTCACTGAATTGCTGGCACGTTGGCCATGGGAATCCGTGAAATTATTGCAAATGTTCGGCGATACTGTGACAACCGCATTTTCAAAACAAGCCGCCCTCAACCAATGAAACTCTTGCAGTTGTTTAACGAATGTGCGCGGCGCCAACACGAGAGCCACATATTGAAAACGGCACGCCCTCAACCCGCAAAGCTCTTTCAATATTTTTTGGAACGAATATGCGCGGCGCTGAGGCGGGAACCACAACTTGAAAAGGAACCGCCCTCAACCCGTGAAGCTCTGGCAATATGCTTGAGCGAATGTGCGCGGAGCGAAAGCGAAAACCACGTGCTGAAAACCATTAGATATCAATCCGTGAAGCTCTTACACATGCTTACAACGAATGCGCGCGGCAACAAGGCGAGAACCACATTTTGAAAACCACCCGCCCTCAATCCCTGAAGCTACTGCGAATGCTTAAAACGAACGTGCGCAGCGCTAAGGGGAGAGCAACATTTTGAAACCCAGCCGCCCTCCATCTGCGAAACGGTTGCCAATGTTCAAGTTTCAGGGTCATAAAAGGTAAAGGGATCTGAGGCGGAACGACCAGCCCGCCCTTTCGACTGGCCTCGAGGTGCGACAGGGAGTTATATGCAAGGAAAACGAATGGAGGGAGAGGATGAAGACCAGTGTCAACCCATGGACCACCAACAATGTTAGAACAAACCCGCCCTCCAAGCTCACTCTTCATAAACACCTACAAAAATGCATTTCTACTGAAACACACGTCCCAGTAGAAGACAACCGTGTGAAAATCCTCAGGCGTGTCCGAACACCCATCTCGGGACCCCGACGCCACAAATCAACCTGACTACTGCGTCTTGACAATCCTGCGCTGTGCCAGAACACGATTCCTAAGGCGTCCACACCGCGAATCAACGTCACTGTTGCGCCCTGACGATCTTAAATTGCTCGCAAACACAATTCCTGGTACGCTGACCGTGGGGAGCTGTGAAACTCTGGCAAATAGATACGTAAAACGAACGCGCGCGGCGCTAAAACAATAATCGCATTTCGAAAAGGAATCGCCCGCAACCCGTGAAATTCGTACTCCATGTTTAAAAGAATGTGCGCGGCGCCAAGGCGACAACCAAATTTTGAAAACCATTCGCTCTCAACTTGTAATGGTTAAAATGAATGTGCGCGGCGCTGACCTGAAAACCACACTTTGAAAACCGCCCGCCCTTCATCCGTGAAACTGGTGCCAGTATCTAAGCTTCAGGATCAGAAATGGCAAGGGAGGCTCAAGCGAAACGCCAGGCCGCCTTTCTGACTGGCCTCGGGGCGCGGCCGGGAACAAGTATTCATAAGGAAAAAGAATGGGAGGAGGCAGAGGGGAAGACAAGGCTCCTCATGTTCTTCCCCTTCCTATTCCTCCTCCTTCCTCTCCTCCTGCTGCTCCTGCCCAGATCCTCCAAGTAATAAAAGTCGTACTGATAGATATTCTATTCGCATTAGCAGTAACAATATAGCAGTAGTAATGGTAGCAGTAAGAGTAGTAGTAGTAGCAGTACTAGTAGTAGTAGTAGTAGTAGTAGTAGTAGTAATTGTAGTAGTAGTAGTTGTAGTAGTAGTAGTAGTAGTTGCTGTTACTATTGTTGTTGTTGTAGTTGTAGTTGTAGTAGTAGTAGTAGTAGTAATAGTAGTAGTAGTAGTAGTGGTAGTAGTAGTAGTAGTGATAAAAGTAGTAGTAGGTATAATCGTAGTAGAAGGGATAGCAGTTCTAGCAATAGCAATAACAGTAGCAGTAGCAGTAGCAGTAGTAGTAGTAGTTGTAGTAACAGTAGTCGTAGAAGTAGTAGTAGTAGTAGTAATAGTAATAGTAGTAGTTATAGTAGTAGTAATAATAGTAGTAGTAGTAGTAACCGTAGTAGTAAGCAAAAGTCATACGATTAGTAATAGAAGTCGTCGTCGTAAGCACAATAATAAAAACCACCGTCGTCGTAATACGAGTAGGAATCGTACAATGACGATGACTACTCGTAGTAGCCGTCGTACTAGTCGTAGTAGTAGTAGTAGTAGTAATAGTAGTAGTAGTAGTAGTAGTAACAGTAGAAGTAGCAGCACCAATCGTAATAGAAGACTTCGTAATACTACTAAACTCGACGTACTCGCACAAGTAGTCGGAATAGTGGTAACCATCATAAAAGTAGTAGCCGCAGCGGCAATGATAATGGCAACAGAAGTAGTTCTAGTGGTAGTGGGAGTAGTAATAGTAGTAGTAGTAGTTGTTGTTGTTGCTGTTGTAGCAGTAGGAGAAGTAGCCGTAGCTGTAGCATTGGTAGTAGTAGTAGTAGTAGTAGTAGTAGTAGTAGTAGTAGTAGTAGTAATAGTAGTAGTAGTAGTAGTAGTAGTAGTAGTAGTAGTGGTACTAGTAGTAGTAGTAGTAGTAGTAGAAGTAGAAGCAGAAGTAGAAGTAGTAGTAGTCGTAGTCGTAGTCGTAGCCGTAGAAGTTGTAATAGTAATAAAAGTAATAATCGGTCGAATTAGGCGTAGCCGTCGTAGTCGTCGGAGTAAGCGGAGTAGCAGCAGTAGTAGTAATAATAGTAGTGGTAGTAACAACATTTGTAATAGTAGTAGTAGTAGTCGTAGTAGTAGTAGTAGGAGTAGTACTACTACTACTACTACTACTACTACTACTACTACTACTACTACTACTAGTAGCAATTGTCCTCGTGTTAATAGTGGTAGTAGTAGTGGTAGTAGTTCCAATACTAGTACCAATAGTCGTTGTAATTCGTAGTAGTGGGAGCGCTAGTAGTAGTCGTAAGAGAAGTCGTGCTGGTAGTGGTAGTGGTAGGAGTAGTGGTGGTAGCAGTAATATTGTTAGTAGTAGTAGTAGTAGTAGTAGTAGTAGTAGTAGTAGAAGTAGAAGTAGTAGAAGTAGTAGTAGTAGTAGTAGCAGTAGTAGTAGCAGTAGTAGAGGTAATAGTTGTATTTGTTATATCAAGACTAGTCACCTCAGAGGTAGCAATACAAAAAACAAAAAAACAAAAAAAAAAAAAAAAAAAAAAAAAAAAAAAAAAAAAAAAAACGGAAACGTGCTGGTAAAGAAATCGCGGGAACAGAAAGAAAGCGAAATACCGCTACCAGGTGCAGCAACACCAGTCATAGTACGATTCCTTGTAGTAGCAGTCGTCGTGGTAAGAGCAACGGTATTAGAAGTGATAGCAATACTCCGGTGTCTTTGTCTGTCATCCCTAAGCGACGCCCTTCCCACCAAGAATCAGCTTGAAAAGGGATGGGCTGGCATCGCCCAGAAAGCCTACACTTCGGGTGCCATGCGCATGTAATACTATGACGTAATCTTGTACCCACTTACGTTTTCTCGTCCTCCTCCTCCTCATCCTCCTGCTCCATCCTCCTCCTCCTCCCTGTCCTCCTCCCCCTCCTGCTCCCCATCCTCCTCATCCCCGTCCTACTCCTCCTCCTCCTCTTCCTGTTCCTCCTCCTCTATATCCTCCTCCTTTTCTTCCTCCTCAGGGTGCCAACATAACGCTTCAGGGTATTGGGTGCGTTATCCTTTCGACGGAAGGGGGGTGTTAATTGCTTCATGAACTTATACATGTTGCCCGCGCGACGTATGTCGGACACAAAAAAATCACCGACATTCGCAGCACAGGCGAGCCACCCCGGATCTGCAGCGGAACGAGCCCCCCCAGGGCGGCGACGCGAGCGCGCCGAGTTCACGTCGCCGGTGCCGGCCTCTCCCTGGGGCGCGGGGGAAGAGGACGAGGAGGAGGAGGAGGAGGACGAGGAGGAGGAGGAGGAGGGGGAGGAGGAGAAGGAGGAAGAGGAGGAGGAGGAGGAAGAGGAGAGGGAGGAGGAGGAGGAGGAGGAGAGGCGGATAGGAACGAGGGTGATGTGGAGCAGGAGGAGGAGGAGAAGGAGGATGAGGAAGAGGATGACGTGGAGGTCCCACCCCCGTCCCCCCAAGATTGGAGGCTCGGAAGTGGGCACCCGCACTTGCCAGCGGCAGAGAGCAGCGGTCGAGGAAAGGGGGCGACGGAGGGGACGGGAGGGCAGGGCGGCGCGCGGCCTGCACGCAGGCCGCCTGGATTCCGAAGTCAGTCCTGAGCATCGCTTCGCCGATCCCCATCCCCAGCGGCGTGGCCTGGTGCCCCGCTGGCCGATTTAGCCCCCGAAGATGGGATGTAGGCCGCCCCCTTCGGGTTTCGAAGGGCACATCCCCGACTGAGGTGGTGAGACGGTGAGGCTCGAAATGTGGATGGTGATGGGGGTAGGGATCAGTCAATTCAGTCCGGCCGCCCCGGGCGTTATGAGGAGGAGTAAGGTTATGAGGAGGATGAAGAGGAGGAGGAGGAGGAGGAGGAGGAGGAGGAGGAGGAGGAGAAGGAGCGCAGCGCCTTCGGAAAGGTCTCCCGCCGCGCACGCGGGCGCGCGACGGACTACCCCCTGGCGCCGCCTACTCACGGCACGGTGCCGAAAGAGCAGGCCGTCGGAACAGGCCGTCGGCGAGGCAGGTACACCCGATGAGGTATTGCAGCAGCTCTGGGACTCCTTTCTGCAGGGTATTGACTACGAGGCCGCAGGCAGGCACGACAAAATTGACCCTGGAACCAACCGCTGCGTCGGGCACCACGCCCCCCCCAAGGTGAAGTGGCGGCAGTTGCGGTGGGATCCACCTCGCAAGCGACTGTACCACGACACCACAGTCTGGGCTTGGGCTACTGCGGCACGTTGGGCGACTCACCTTCGCGCTGAGCGTGATCGGGTCCAGCGTTTTTGTCACCGGTTGAATGCGGTGGCGGCGCATGCGTCTCCACATCCCAGGCAGCTGCAGAAGACGACCAGCGTCTTCTACGACATCCTCTGTTTCCCGAGCTCCATTGCTGTACAGGACAAAATCTTCACCAACATCGACCCCTGCTACCGCCAGTTCTTCCTGCGCGGGCTGGACGGGCTGATTGCGAAGGACTTTGATGACATGGTAGATGCCATGGTGGGCCGCGCGTCGGAGAGAGCCTGGCGCAGCTGGGCTCAGGCGGCCTTCAATGGGGAATCGAAGGCTGACCATGCTGCATCCAAGGTCAGGGCGCAGCAAGAGCTCGTTGCCCCTGAGGCCGACGCCCAGCCATACATCCTCGCGGACCGCACCATGGGCGAGTGGAAACGGATTTGGGCGACCCATGGGCTGGAGGAGCTGCCTCCACCCACGGACGCACCTGCTTGGGAGGAGCTGCCTAACCTGACGGCCCATGACCTACGGCAGGCAATCCGATCTTTCTCTCTCGTCACTGCCTCGGGGCCCACGGCCCACCCGCATTCCACCAAAGGCGCTCGAGCACTTATCAGATGAGGCTCTCACGGGGTTGGCCCAGATGTTCGAAGCTTTCGATCAGCACTTACGGTTTCCCCCAGACCACCAGAAAAAGAGGGATGGTCCGTCTCCCTATGCGAGATGGTGGCCACAGGCTGATTGTGCTTAGCCATGCTCTCATACGAGATTGGGCGAAAGACAGACAGACAGACAGAGACAGAGACAGACAGAGGGCCAAACGCCCAGGGGCGCGTCGGCAGGCGCTACTGCAGCGCACTCACGTGTTTCCTCCAAGCACGTTCGTCTTGCACAAGGTCTTCCCACCGAACATGTCCGCCTGCCGCGCACGCGGCAACAGAAACTTAGCCCATTCCAGTCTGGGCCTCCCGACCTTCCTGACGTAGTGGTCAGTGATGGGCGTAGAAGTGCCGGGGGCGAAAATAGACTCTCGAAGTGGATCTCCAGGCTCTGCTCCCGCTGCCTTTCCAAACAGAAGATGCTGTTGCTTGAGAAGGACATTTGTCCAAGGCTCTTGTCGAGTCCGGGCCCAGATGCTCGCGTTAAACACGCGCGAAAAGATTGGGTGCTTGACCCCACAAGAGGGTCACAGCATCTGGCAGTGTGCCCCGTCCAGGCGACGCCCCTCTGCAGCATTCAGACATGCTGCGCTCAAGCTGTAGAGGAGTTTTGGGTGATGATGGCGTTGAACAGCTCGATCTTCCGTCTTTCTCCGATGCTCGTGTGCCCCCAGATTTCTTGAGCCTGGAGAACTCTGCATATGCCATGCCAGACCGTCGGTTAAGCTCATTCCCTACCCTGCCATCGCTGCTGATAGTGGTGCCGAGGTAAGACATATTATCTGTGGTTGAAATGGCCTCCCCCGTAAGAGTGTGGACATCTCCGCTGCGTCGAACGTTCATCAATTGCAGTTCCCCCCAGTGTAATTCCAAGCCCACCAAGCTGGCCGCCTCCTGCACCACGCGCAGCCACTCCTGCATGTTCTCTGCACGTCGCGCGATCAGTAAGGTGTCGTCGGCGTAAAACAGCTGCCCGACACGCTCCGCCGGATGCTGTCCGAGCGCTTCCGTTGCGTCGGCCATGATGACAGTCATGACCATGACGAAAAGGAGGGGCGACAACGGGAAGCCCTGTGAGATCCCTGATCGCTGCGCTCGTCGTTCCGCTGACAGGTGCCCGGCGTCCCGGACGTGGGACGTGCGCCCATTGTAGATATCCTCGATGGTGCGCCGGATATTGCTGGGAAGTCCGAAACGTTCCAAAGCAGCTTGCATTGCCTGCGTGTTCACGGAATCGAACGCCTGCTTCCAATCCAGCGCTAGAAAGTACCCGTTGCCGTGCTGGAGTGCCCATTCTTGTTCGATACGCCGTCGCAGAATACAGATGGCGTCCTGCGTGCTGCGCCCGCTGCGGAAGCCGAGCTTGTACATCATCATCAACATCATCATCATCATTATCAGCATCATCAACATCAACATCATCATCATCATCATCATCATCATCATCAGCATCATCATCATCATCAGCAGCATCATCATCATCATCATCATCATCATCATCATCATCATCATCATCATCATCATCATCATCATCATCATCATGATGATCATCATCATCATCATCATCATCATCATCATCATCATCATCATCATCATCATCATCATCATCATCATCATCATCATCATCATCATCATCGTCAGCATCATCATCAGCATCAGCAGCATCAGCATCAACATTATCAACATCAGCACAAGCAGCAGCAGCAGCAGAAGCAGAAGCATCAAAATCATCACCACCGCTACAACCACAACCACCATCATCAACATCAGCAGCAGCATATGCCTCATCATCGTCATCGCCATCGCCATCACCAACATCAACATCATCAACAGCATCAACATCATCAGCATCATCATCATCATCAACATCATCGTCATCATCATCATCCGCATCCTTAGCACCATCAAAGTCACCATCACCATCACCATCACCATCATCATCACCATCATCTGCTTCGTCATCATCATCATCATCATCATCATCATCATCATCATCATCATCACCAACATCATGATTGTCATCGCCGTCGACCAAAATCGCTTCCATTATGACCATCACCGTCCTCACCATCACAATCGTCATCGTAATCTCTGCATCGTCATCATCCTCAGGATCACCGCCCAAGACATCATCACCAGCAGCGTCATCAGAATCATCGTCATCATCATCAGCATCATCATCATCACAGTCGCCGTCATCGACATGGTCAGCATGGGCATCATCATCATCACCAGCAGCAGCATCATCATAGTCGTTGTCATCGTCGACATCGTCGACGTCGTCGTCGCCGTCGTTGCCATCGTCATCGTCGACCTCACCATCATCATCATCATCATCATCATCACAACCACCATGATCATCAGCATCATCATCATTGTCATCATCAAGAGTACCATCATCATCACCACCGCCATCATCATCATCATCATCATCATCATCATCAGCAACATCATCAGCATCGTAGTCGTCATCACAACCACCGCCAGCATCATCATCACCAAACATCACCATCGTCACAAACATCGCCATCGCCATCGACAGCGCTATCGTCATCGTCAACACCACCAACATCACCATCATCGTCAACACCACCATCATCATCACCAGAATTATCCGCCATGCCCCCCTCAAGACACGTCCAGAAACAATATCACCCCGCGGGAATCCAAGAAACACGTCGAGACCTTCTGCTCCCCCCTCCCCCTCCTCCTCCTCCTCCTCCTCCTCCTCCTCCTCCTCCTCCTCCTCGTCAAGCGTGAGGGCTGCGCACAACCTTCACCCAGCCTCGTCTCTACCAAAAGTTCTACTGGACGAAACTGTGCCCGGAAAATCCGCCCAAGCGTGACCGAAACCGGCGCCCGACATTTCCTGAACGCGCCCGAATGTGACCAAATGTTTGGTTCAAACCCAAAGCTACCGTCGATCTCGGTCACACATTCGGTCACACTGCGATTTCGGTCACAGTCTCGGGCACATTTCCGCCACAGAATTGTGCCGGTCACCTGCCTGTTCGGCTGACAGGGGGCAGGCGCCGTTACCACCCGGCCAGAGAGCGGATAGATGATGCGATGCGCGCAAAAGCTAGGTCGGGCGTCCCCCCACAGGGAGATTTTGGACGGAGAAGTGCAAATCGTCAAACAATACTCCAAAATGGTCAAAGAAAGGTCAAAGAATCCTCCCCATCTGATCTTTTTTACTATTTTTGAGTAGCACTCCTGCAGAGGGACGGGCCCGACTGAACGTTGCCCCCTGGCCAGAGAGCGGACAGAAACTGCGATGCACGCCAAGGGGAAGCGCAGCCTGGGCCGCCCCACCCAGGCGCCAAGGCGGCACGGCGACGTACTCCAACACCCTCCCTGAGCATCGTTTGACCGATCCCCATCCCCAGCGGCGTGGCCTGGGCCCCACTGGCCGATTTACACCCCCCTAGATGGGGATGAAGGCCGTTCCCTTCGGGTCTCGAGGGGTGTATCCCCAACTGGGGGGTTCATTTGGTGGGGGTCTCGAAGGGGATGGGGATGGGGATGGGGGTCGGATAAACGATACTGACTCCCCTCTCTCTTGAGCAGGGACCGACCGTCCCGGCATTCGTATAGTCATACCACGAACTGTTCTTCGAACCCAAAAATGTTCTAAGAACAAAAACAAAGTTATTAGAACATAGACCCGATGTGTTAAAACGAGACAGTATCAACCAGAAATGTCCTAAGAACATTTCGTGGACACCACACAAGGTTCTTATGACATTGCTCGGTAGGGCTATAGGCAGGCCAGGACGCTTCGCCACGGCTTGACTCTCGGGGGTCGTCGTGGGCTTCTTGGGGCCATCTTGCGGCCGGCCGCCGTGGGCCTCAGCAACCAGGCCACGACTCGGAGGGGGTATCGGGGGCCTCCTGGGAACGTCTCGTGGCCTTTTTGGGGCCGTCTTGAGGCTCTCGCCCTCTTGACGCCATTCTGGGCCGTCGTAGGGTCGGGGGGGGGCCTCCTGTAACGCCCTCGGGCCTTCACCCTTCCCAAAAACAACTCCTACTCCTCCTCCTCCTCCTCCTCCTCCTCCTCCTCCTCCTCCTCCTCCTCCTCCTCAACTCCTGGAGGTCCGCGCGGGTGTCTTGGACTGGCGCGGGACCCTCCGTCCCTGACTCGCGGAGCGCGCCAGGGGCGGCGCCAGAGGCGCGGGCAGGGGGCCAGCGCAGATCCAAGAAATCCAAGAGGACCGTCGAATGTACTTTCGTACCGTTGATTCGACTACACGCAAGAGTGCCCCTAGGAAAGAGTGACCTTTGGTGCGCGGCTTCAGGGGGGGCACGAGGGGGCCAAAACCCAGCGCGCACGCAGCCGCTGCCGCCTTGCGCTCGGCGATCGATCGGGTGGCCCCATTGGGGCCGCACCAAAGGTCACTCCGGCGAAAGGTCACTCTTTAGAGGACTCCAAAATGGGGTCCGAGTAGATGGGGTTTAAGTGATCGCGCCGCATTGGCTATGCGTTGGCGATGCATCGGCGACGTCGGCGATGCATCGGCGACGTCGGCGATGCATCGGCGACGTCGGCGTGGGGAAACGGAAACACGGGCTCCATTTTGAGCTGCCTCGTCGATGCATCGGCGATGCAGCGTGACCCACCGACCCCATCTACTCGGACCCCATCTGGGAGGCCGAGACTCTTACGCGTGGCCGACTTGCCCTGTTCGAGCGCGGGCGCGGCAGGGACGGTCTCCTTCGTGCGGATCATGCTGCAACCCTCGGCGATGCGCCGCAGCGCCTCGCCCAGGTTCCTGCACCCGCACACGAAGGGCACCTGAGGGCCGGGCGGCCTGGCGCCCCCTCCCCCCCCCGCGGGCGCCAGGCGGCCAGACGAGGGCACGATGGCGTCCTCCTCCTCGTCTCGGCGGCGCGCACCACGGGGTAGAGGGAGGGGGGAAGGCTTCTCAGATGGCGGCTGTTTCCCGAATGAGAAGCCAGGGGCGCGCCGCTTCTTGGAAGCACCCCCAGCAGATCCTCAGGAACACGGAGCTGCTTATCAGAAGCTGAAGCAGCTTCTTAGAAGCACGCCACCTGCTACTTAGAAGCACGCAGTGGACAGTTTCTAGAAAGCAACCACAAGCTTCTTAGACGGAGCGCCCGCGCATTCTAAGAAGGGGCGCTTCTAAGAATAGGAGCGCCACATGTGAACCCTACCCCACCACACCACGACTTGTTCTAAGGGGGAAGGTGGAGCTCACTTCGTTCGGGACCTCCCGAGCGAAGAGATCCCCGCCCCCCCCTTCGAAATCGTGGGGTGGTGGGGTAGGGTTCGCATGTGGCCTCCTGCAGAAGCCTTCCCCCCTATCGCCCCCCCCCACACCTCTGCGCGTGGCTGATCCTCCGCGGCCGCGTCCCTGCTCCTCCTCGCTGGCCCTCCCCTTCTCGCTCCTCGACTGGGCCGGAGCGATAATGAAAGCGGGGGTTCGCGTGAGGTCGGGCGTGTCCCCCTACAGGCGGATCTTGGACGAAAAAACAGAAATCAGAGTGAGGGGGCCAAACGCTCATTCGTTGTTCCCGGGTGCGTGGCTGAAGTGGGGATCCGCGGGGAAGATTATGCGTGTTGTTGTCGTCGTCGTCCCCCCCCGACCCGCCCGCGACCCACCCGCGACCCCACCCTCGACCCACCCCGCGACCCAACCCGCGACCCACCCCGCGACACACCCCACGACCCACCCCCGACCCACCCCGCGACCCACCCCGCGACCCACCCCGTGACCCGCCCGCGACCCACCCCCGACCCACCCCGCGACCCACCCCGCGACCCACCCCGCGACCCACCCCGCGACCCACCCCGCGACCCACCCCTCGACCCACCCCGCGACCCACCCCGCGACACACCCCGCGACCAACCCGCGACCCACCCCGCGACCCACCCGCGACCACCCCGCGACCCACCCCGCGACCCACCCGCGACACACACCCCGCGACCCACCCCGACCCACCACGCGACCCACCCGCGACCCACCCGACCCGCGACCCATACGCGACCCACCCGCGACCCATCCGCGACCCACCCCGCGGCCCACCCGCGATCCACCCGCGATCCACCCGCGACCCACCCCGCGATCCACTCACATTTCTTTAAAGAAGAAATCGGCGCATGTAAAAGTTAGGCGCCTGCAGCGGGTTTCTTCAGAGTCTCGCAGACTGACGACGTCCTCGCCGCCCCCTCGCGGGCCGACCGGAGGGACCACGGTCGAACCGATCGAAGGAGCAGGACCCGGGGCACCCGACGAGCCAGAGGGGATGGGGGCGCGAGCCTCGGGCCCCGGAGCTCCGGAGCCGCCTGGAACGCCCCAGGCCTCGGGCGGTGGGGGCCCCATCCGACTCCACACCCGCGGCTCCCACGCGCCTCCCGGGATTCCTCAACTGAAGGGGCCCCAGGACACACAAATAAATACACACAAATAAAAATATTCCCCATATTTTCCCATATTTTCTGGGTTTCTGTCTTCCCCCCCCACTTCCCATATTTTCCCATATTTTCTGGGGAATCGAGGATTAATTGTGTCTGTGTGTTTCTTTTCCTCCTGGTCAACTCCTGCCGGAGCTGATCAGAGCGAGGATTGCCACGGAGCTCCGCGACCAGGGCCTCCGGCCTCGCCGCGGGCCTGCCCTGCTCCACGGAGCACTGCAAAAGCCGATGTCGCATCGCCACCCGAACAGTGCTCCCTGCTTGGGCGTGGCTTAATGGGGGGGTCACAAATGGGGGGGTAAGAAAAGGTCCCCTTTCGTGCCCCTTTCGGGCCCCTCCAGAGCCCCAGGGGGCTCGTTTAGGTACCGTTTGGGTACCTTTTCGGACCACCCTCGCCACCCCCCCATCTATGACCCCCCCATTACGCAACGCCCAACCTGCTTGGCAAACCACGGCCCCGGGACAGGCCCAACGATCTCTCAGGAGATTGCGGCTGCTATCGGCAGACGTTCTTTCTTCAAACATGCACCCACCCCCCTGGCTGATACGCCTTGCCCGCGTCCTTTCGGGCCTTAGATGCTTCGACGAGGCGATCGCGGGCGTCGTGAGCGGCCAAGGCCCGCTGCGCCTCCGACCTCAGCTGATGGGCACGAGCGAACGCAGCGGCAGCCGTGTCGTGGCCCACCGCACTGGCCCGGAAATCCTCGACCCCAATGTCGTCGACCGTGTCGTCACTTAACATGGGCCTCGGGACCCAGGGGTTTCCGCCGAAAACCATCTGACAAGGGCTGAACCCCCCTCGGTGGTAGGTGCGGTTTTTCCCAGACACAACTTCGCACAGCAACAGCTCAACCTCGCCCCGGCTGGCGGGCACGGCCGAGAAGGCGGCGCGAGACGCGGCATTCTTCACGACGCCGCCGCGCTTCTCGCACTCGCCATTAAAATGTGGCGAATTAGCCAGGACCACCTGCAGATAGATATCACCGATCTCACATCCCCTCGAGAAACTTGCGCCGAACCCGGCTCCGCCGTCCGACAGAGTCATATTCGGAAGACCGAACGGACGAATACACCATTTGGCGAGCGCGGCCCACACGGCGGCAGATATGTCGTCGGACAGTAAGCAACACAGCTGAAAACTGGCACCATGGTCCACCATGTTCAAAACTGGCAAGCTTTCTCCCTGAAGCTCGAGATAGAAGATCCACCGAAAGCAGACGGTTGAACCTATAGGTTCGGGGGAGGCGGGCCCGACGCCTCCAATTGGGGCGGAGGTGAGAGGCACAATGAGGACAGTGAAACTTGTGCTTCACCGAATGAAGGATCTCGGGTCGAGCTCCAGCTATCCTAAGGGTCCACAAGAAATGGCCAAGCATGGGGTGCCCAAGATTAACATGGAGCTCGTGAATCTCTACCTCCGAGTCCCCCTTCGCTGTCTGGCCTGGGGCGGGCCGCCTCGTGGCGGCCACCTCATCATCGGACCCGGAGGCGCCAACACCGCCCGCCTCGGGGCCCCCCATCGAACTCGGGACCTGCGGCCGGGAAGGAACTGGTAAAGCTCGGAGACTCGGGCGTCCGAAACTCACGGCACCACAGCGCCGACTCGATCCCGTTCGCCAGGGCTGCCACCGACTTGAAAGGGTAGCGCTCCGCCCGGCGAGTCCTGGCATCCCCTTCCAGAGGCAGTTAAGGGCGTTCCCCCCGGCATCTTTTTGCCGCACTCTTCCAGGAGCGCATCCCGACTCGCCAAGAAGCGGGTCGGCTTCTTCGAGATCTGTGCCCCCAGGAAGACCGACAGCCCGCACATGCACTGGTCCAGGATTCGGGAGACCACCCCCTCGGACTCGGCGACTATCTTCACGCTCTCCAAGTCCCATGAGCTCGCAGACTGGGGGTGCTCTAGAACGAAGCCCCTCCCCCGCGACAGCTGATAGAGGGCAATCTCGCAGCAAAGCTGCATGAACTTCAACCCTTTTCGCTCGACCTCCTAACGCTCGGCTATGCCCGCGCGCCCCCAATTGCTGGCGGAAGCTACACTGAACGCGCGGCAGACGGGTAACATTCAAATGCACATCGGCTGATCCCGCTCGATAAGATCCCAGAGCTCTCGCACCCCAACCAGCGAGTCCAGGTCCCACCCAGTCTGGGAATCCACAGCCTGCGAAACTCGGCACCCTCGCTGCTGGAGGAGGGCCGACATCCGGAGGGGAGAGAAGACCTCCAGAAGGACCGTGCCCCCCGCGCCGGGATTCTGACGCCAGCAACGCGCGCCTTCTCCAGGCATGCTTCTTCGAGACCCCAGACCCGTCCAGAACCTGGAGGGCGGCCCGCCTAACCTCGCGGGGGACCGCGGGGTCGGGGGCGCTTTCAAAACCCCCCTCGAGGACACGAGCCACGAACGAGTCGGTCTCCACGGCGTAGTAGCGCCCCGTCCCCTTAGCTTCACGGCTGGCTGCTATCCGGTGCTTGCTGGGATCGTGCGAGGCTAAGTCCGCAACAGCTTCGGGGCCCCGAGGGCCCTGCCCGCTAGGCCCGTCTGAGGCCGCGACCCCACTGCTTCCCCAAAGAGCCCCAGACCTCCTACGGCCTTCTGAGGCCCCGACCTCGCCTTCTTCCTCATTGTCCTCACGCTCCTCGCGCTTGCTTCCAGACGCCCAGAGATCGATCGAGCAGTCGGACCTCCTCTTATCGCGGAGGATCTCGCCTAGCACGTCGTATGAAAGGTGCCGCCAGAGGGAGTCGAGCAGCACGGTGCCCTCGGCCCGCACTCGCACTCTGCGAATGCCGGACGGCACGAGAGTCCGCGGAGGGCGGCCGCCACCTCGAATCAGGGCGACTCCGACGACGAAGGCCGAGCGACCGATCGAACTCAGAGCGCGCCCCCTCCTGCCTAGATCGGACCCGACCTGATCGAGGGAAGCGATCTTACCTTCTCGACGGCCCCAGATACCTCTGCCGCATCCTGGAGCGGCCGGCTCACGAGCGAGCATCGCCCGATCGCGCCTCGTCTGGATCGAAAGATCTCGGAGAACCAGCTGGCTGACATTCGATCCTAGGTCGAGCTTCCGCAGCGCCCTGTGCTGTCCTACTTCTGGCCGGGCTTCTACCGTCGTCGACGTGCTCAGCCCGGAGGGATCGGGTTGCCCTCGAGGTCGTGCATCCCCTGGACCTCTGCCTGCATCGCTAGCTGGACGGCCTCTCTGATCCTGCGCGCCAGGCGAAACACCTCCTCGTCCGTCAGATCCGAACGCTGCGGGACTGAATGCAAGTCCTCTTGGACGGCTGTAAGCTGCTCCGCCATCACGTGCATCTGGTCGAGCAACGCGTCTTCATCTGGCTCGCGTGGAGCTGCCTGGCGT